CGAATTTTGTTTTGAAAAGTCACCTCCCCTTCACCGCTAATTTGTATTATACATTCGTCCTGATTGGAAAGCATGCCAGAATACTCACTTTCCTCATTATCATCACTCGAAAAGTCAATTCAGCAGAGACCATATTTACTAGTCTTCAAAGTAAATTTTTGCTGTCACTCACCTCTTTATATTACGTTGCGTCTTTGTAAACTGGAAGTGAACTCCATTTCGTGAAGCCTGCTGTTTTCATAAATTGTACTGCAAACTAAAAAACTGGCGATCACGACGAATTTCGTTCATCCGCTCAATCATCGCCAGTTTGTGCGTGTTTCATAAAGAAGCCAGTAGCCAAAAATATTGAAAAAATTTTACACGGAGATTTTTTCATTGCAAGCCACTCTTTTAAAATATTAGTAGCAAAATTTCCCATTCGCTTTGGTTAATTTTGGAAAGGAAAGTTTCCAACTGATAAATATTTATGGCGAGCTGCTCCAGATTTTCTAAACTCGTTCTGTAAGAAAAATCTGTAACAAATATTGATATGTCCTGCGTGACGCATAATCTGCTAAAATTGTTACAACATTTCGTCGACCTTTTAGGATATGAATGTGAGGGTTTCTCTGCATTTTTCTTTTGAGGGAAAAGCACAGTTAGAAGCAACAAAGAGAAACTGCTGTTGGTGCTGGTATTAGGAGGGCGGTGTCGAGATGTCCTGAATGCTTGCACATAATGGGAGGTGCGGGAGGGGGCATTCAAGGGCAATGTGATGCCATTTTAATTACCTGGAAGTCTTATACAAATCACATAATAGCGCTTCGAAATATCGGCCAAACCCCAAATATCCTCACCTCAAATCGTTTTTGGGCAGTGTCTACAAGTGCGCATTCAGTAAGCAAAGTCTCTTCCTTGTCACATCAACTACTTTATCTCGCACATGCTGTCTATTTATGGATGACTTTTCTGCGCTCATTAATTGTTTTATCTGGAGCGACTACATCATCTGTAAGAACTCAGCTTTTGTTTCGTCGTCATTATAACTGCCTAAAACTGGCTCAGATTTTTTGCTCATATATCTGTTTGTTAGCCCTCATTCCTTCAACTGCTTTTGAGAATGAAATTACGGCTTTACCAAATGTGCCAAAGCTAATCGTGGTTATTTAAAAGCCAGCGTAACTTCTAAAAATTTGAAAATTTCGCAAAAAAAAAACTTATTCACTCGTAAATTACGGCGAGAAATTTGCTGAAAATAACATTTTTCACCCATTTATGCACATGTGGCTTACGTAGAAATACTAACTGCGATTCTAAGTCAAATTTAAGCTTGCCTAGCGTTTGGGCACATGTTCGTCTGATTGTTGCATAACTCAGATTTAAAATCACAAAAGCCATAATAACTAGTATTCCAAGAACAAAACATAATGTATGGCGCTAAAAAATTAAAATCTATTTTGCTTTATCATGGAACCACGGCCTTACACAAACTCTATTTCAATTTATAAATCGAAAACGAATAAATTTACACGCTTCAGATGTTGACGGTTTAATTCATCAGGTAATGGTTGCAAGTGGCCTAAATTTTGTCTTCAAAGTCGTATTCTAACTGCCATTCTAGGCCAAATTCAGGTTTGCCTAGAATTTCGGGACGAAGCGCGTTACACAACCTGCAATTCTACTTTAGTTTGCTAGGCAGGGATGATGAATAACTAAAAATTTTCTTTCATACCCTACTGCTTCTGACTTACAATCGTACGTCTAAATACAAACTGCGATTAAAAGT